TGATGGACAGAGAGAGATGAGACTGTGATGGACAGAGAGAGATGAGACTGTGATGGACAGAGAGAGACGGGACTGTGATGGACAGAGAGCTGGGACTGTGATGGACAGTGAGAGACGGGACTGTGATGGACAGAGAGCTGGGACTGTGATGGACAGAGAGAGATGGGACTATGATGAGAGGGAGAAAGAGGACTGTGACTATGACGGATAGAGAATGTTTTTCAAATGTTATTTTGGGGTCAAAACCACACTGATTGACTTCTGGGGTACAGCTCTCTGCTAGGTCACGCAAATGTTGTTAAGAGTATCTTATAGGATAACAGTAAACAGCAAAATCACAACAATAGTGTCATTAATATATTTGTGTCAGTGCAACATAATTTAAGGTCCTCTGGATGTAAATCCCTGAAAAATAAATCCGGGAAATTCGTCTGATTGGATACACCCAGCACATGAATGTTAGAGGGAAAATTGCCCTGGTAACAATATATCATGGCAATGCATTCAACTACCTTTTCACTCGGTCACATGTGCCCTCCCGAACCCGAGTGTGGGACAGTAAAAAAGCAATATTCAAAGTATAAACGTTGTGTTATTGCTTTCCCCATGAGGCGGGGCTCTTGGGACGGTCCGTCTCTACCTTAACAGGGAGACACATATAAAATAAAATGCTAGAGACCGGCCTCTCTCGATGTAAATGACCCAGCGGGCGTAGCAGGGCCAGCGTGTGAGATTTATGAATGGTGTTAGACCAAACAAATTGTGTCTGAGAGAAGCCAGCGGGTGCGGCTCTATAAACACGGACGGGAAAGAGTTCGGTGGAGTGCTTGGGAAGATCGGACACAGCTGGGGAGGCGAGGCCGGAGCCGGGGGGGGATGTTCACCCTCGCCCCCACCACTGGCCCTGGCCCGCCACGTGTTGGCCTATTTGCATTTGTAATGCTGCTCCATCTGCAAAGGGTGGATTGAGATCCTTTTGCTGATTGCATTGTAATTACACACTGTGTCTACTCCGGGACATGTACATCTTATTTTCTGGATGTTTTACACTGTGGTGTAAAAAAAAAAATCCTAAGAAAAAAAAAAAACACCAGATCTGCTTTTATTCTACTCCTGAGTTTACTGCACGGGGTTGTTATTGCCTAATAGGAATTTTACTCTGGAATCCAAACTGAAACACTGCTAAACACTGCTTAGTCTCTGCTTTTGCCAAACTGGGCTCAACACGTCGGAAAGACAGGGACAAGGTTGGCACGTGACGTATGGGTTGCCTCCCTTTGAGTGGCGCCACCTTAAATCACACATTTGAGTGTCACGGCTTTGCCTGCCGCTGGCGCTTAGAGAGTCCACACCTAATCAGCTTATCGGCGGCGTGGGGGAACCCACATCGTTGGAGAATGTATCATTTTACAAACTCCGAGCAGGATTTAAAGGAAAGACCTGTTCACTCAATGGCTCCTTTCATTGCATAAAGTGGTTGATGTGCATCCATCTAAGACCATAATCCTTTTGTCGCCACGAATAACCAAAGAAAAACATTTTTGCAGACTAAGTAAGAACGTAAAGCTGCTCCACCAGACCAGGACCCGCCTAATAAACTCACAATAGGGTGTAGCGAGCGGCGGCTTCACTCTGAAGTGGGGTGCGTTGGGGTGGAGAATGAGCTCCCTAGCGGACGGCATGGCGATCGTCTGAAGCCACGAGTCCTCCCGCCATTTCCCAGGGTGCCGTGCGTGGTGGGCCCTCGCGCCATTCCGCTGGCACGGCGCTGTGTAGTTAGGACACGGGCCAGCTTACTCTGGTGGAATTTCCTGCCTGAATCCAATTTCCCCCATCGCTTTCCAAGCGGGACAGAAAAGCCTTTTAATTACAGCGCCGAGAGCCGGGCGCGGGTCTTATTATGGCTGTTATTGAGCACTTCCTCTGAGGATGAGCCCCTCCACTACAAAGTGGCCTGCTCTCCGGCTTAGTCGCAAACTTGAAAAGTGGATGTTTTCCCTCTTCTTTGCGGCTTAGGGAGCCTTTTGTTAATATCTGAGGCTGGCTTTGCGTGTCCCGGAGAGGACCGGGGCCGCCTACACGCTGAAGCCGGGACAGGAAGGGTGGTGGACAGAGGGGGCGGCTGAACGGGTGAGGCGCAGAGATGGACCCAGTGTGCAGTGTTGGGGCACTTTCCAGTGCGTTACCCAGACATGGAGAGCGACTATCTGCCACACGCTTGACACTCAAACCCTATTTAACCACATGTTTACATTTCAGTGGTCATGTTGGGCTTGGGGCTCACAGTCCGTGGGGGGGGGGGGGGGGTGGCAGTGAGAAAGTGAGAGGCCCTCGTCTCCGTGTTCTCCCACATGTGGAAACAAATGTTATCACCCAAAGACTAATAGAGGTGGGGGCTTGAACACGACATTCCAGCGCTTCTGGCCCGCAGGGGGAGGGCCAGGCTCAGTAAATCAGGTAAAGCGCCTCTTGAACTCTCCAGAGCGACGGCCTTTGTTCTTATTGCCGTGTGTGAACAATGGAGCTGTCGAGGTGATGGAATAAGCCGGGTTGGCTGATCCCCCCTCGTCCCGGCGGCCCAGCCAGCTCAGGGCGGCCCGAATGCGCTGCCCGCCCCCCGAGGCGCTCAAGCAACCAGTAGACTGTGGACTGAAGCAGGGGGAGCGCAATCCAACACACACCCCTGCAAAAAAGGACCAGGGCTTGCTATTTGACACAGCTGGGGGGGTGGGGGTTGAATGCGCACGTTCATTTCCTGTAACTTTTAACAGCGTCCAAAACGTAAGGAGAGCTCTGGCTTCAGGTTACTAGGCAAGCTAGTGTTAAGGCCAAGCAGCGTGAGGAATGACTGCGACGGTCCGCCGCTGTTTTAATAGCTGTTTGCCAGGAGGGTTAATTACCTATTTTTCCAGCTTGGATTTTTTTGGGAGGGTCAACAGAAATAGTTCCAAGTCGTCACGGAATGGAAGATGGTGACGTTTCACAGCTGGGGTGTCTGGTGACACCCATGTGGGCGCACAGGGGCCATCAGGTGTGGCAGTCAGCATTCAGAGCAGGTCACCCGTGGGGGGGTGTAGGAGGACTCCGGGGCCATTGGGGGCCGATGCGCTCCATGGTGCTTCCAGGGCCGGTTCCGGGTCTTTCCACAGCCCTCCTCCACCCGCGACATTATTAATGGTGCATTAACTTGGTTGCCTCTTTGAATAAAGCTGTTTGTCTTGTGCCCACTCCACCGCCCGCACAGAGCCCTATTATACTGGTTACTGCACATCGCAGGGAAAAATGCACCCCCCCCCCACCCCGCCATGCCATAGAATGGTAGGCCGCCCCAATCCCCCCGCCCCCCCGCTACCCTGCCCGCCTCCAGCGCTGGATACTTTAAAAATGGAAGGGCTGTGCGGGGGTCCTTCCGTGGCGGGGGCAGGGGGAGGGGGATGAGTCTGGCTGTTAGTCACGTGTGTTTTTTGCGGCGTGTTTTCCCATCAATCCCAGGAGTCAAATGGCTCATTTAACTAGGGAAATATTCACAAACTCCTAAGGAACACTGCAAAATGCAGTGCCTGATGCCTGCGTTTAACGGGGCATAGCCTGAAACACAGCAAATAAACAGCTTCCCCAATAAAAGGAGTTCCTGCCCGTTGTATGCCTTGCGTGGCTGGACTGTTCTGGCTGTTCTGTAACTGCCACCTGTGCAGATAGTGCCTGTACAGTGACAGGATGTGCATATTTCTGCAAAAACATAGACAAATGCTAAAACTCTCTTTTGTACAAAGTGCAGGCGTGTTGAAATTTGGCTAGGCACTGAAGGCTGACTCACAGAGGTCCTGGGTGCCCCCCTTCCAGATGGAGATAACAATCTGCACCCCCATGAACCCCTCCGCCTCACTGACATGCGTGATGCCCCAGGAATTTTAATGTAGGTTTTCACTCCTCCCGAAACAGGAAAAGCGTCATGCAGGTTTACAATCAGCAAACTGGGACTGTAAAAGCGGGCAGTGCTCTCTGAGGACAACGGGGCGTTTTCACGAGGGGCCGCACTAGGGGCTGGGGGGGGGGGGCAGGGCTGATGCTCGTAAGGGGAAAAATCTTAATGAGAAGCAAACGTCTTAAAAAAACTTTGGGGATGCTTAGAGTTCACTTCACACGGCGATTACATGAGGCTGCACTGTACTAATGATCCGCAGAGCTTTCCCGTAATCTGGACAATTAAAGGCAGCTTGTTGCTTCTAATAAGAAACCCAGTGCCAAGAATTCTTTTTATTACAGGAAGATGTTGATTTTTGTAGTTTTTCTTCTACAAATAAAAAGTAAGACCAAAAGCTTTGGGGCTCCGCTTTCATATTCTTGCAGCCCCTAAATGTGCGAGCCCCGCATCACAGGCCAAAGCTTCCAATTATGACATCATAAAAGAGCTAAGAATGAAATGCAGCAGGACCTGAATGGGTCAGGCACAGCGGCTGCCCTCAGTGGGCTGGGTGGAGCCGGGATGGCTGCGAGTTACGGTTAGCGATTAACACTCGCTGATAGTAAACACGGCCCCCAGCACGGGACACGCGGGTAAAAAGGCGGAGGTTGCGGCGTTCTGGTCTTTGTTTACGGAGCGTTTCCCTCACAGGGCCTGGCCCCGCAGAGACACTCCAGCCTGGAAAGAGGGTTTTCGCAAAGCTGTCAGCTCGCGTTTGCGCCGGTGCCGCGGCCTGGCCCCGTACCGCCCGTCCTCGCCATGGTTCAAAGGCAGCCTAGCTGCAGGTCTTTGTCAGAGGCCCAGTTGGAGATCTTTTATGTTGGAGATGTAGGATTTCTTGGGATGACTTTGATTATTTATTTATTCCACTTGGCTTCTGTGATAGAGCCAATATTCTGCACAAAACTGCCCAGCTTGCCTCTGAAATCTGTGTTGTTTTATTGTGCTGTGCTTCCTTTTTTTGAAGTGTCCCTCTGTCTCCCTCTCTCATCCCTCCATCTTCTACTCTTCCTCTTCTCCACCTGTCTGTTTGCAGCCTCCCATCCCGTGTTCCCGACCTTCCACACTCCCATTCCGATCGACATGCGGCACCACGAGGGCAGGTACTTCTACGAGCCACATGCCCTGCCGACCATGCACGGGTAAGTGTACCGTCCGACACGTATCACTCTGAAGCATGCCGTCCGCTCTGCATACCGCTCATACAGCCTGAAATGGCACAGAGCTCGCCGTAAGTGACCCGTAAGGCTCATTTTCCATACCGAGGAAAGCTAAGGGATCCATGTTTTAATCTGTCTTTGGTTCTTTCTTGCTGAATCGGACATGGTCACATGTAAAGTAAAAGCGATATGTTCAGGTCAAGGTGGTTCCGGCTTGTGCTACAGGAACCTGGCCAGGCTGGGTCATGACTGGGTTGTACACCCATCTTCAGAGGAAGCGGATAATTCTGCTTCATTAGCCCCCCATGCTCAGAGTGGGAAACCTGGAGAGCGGGCCCGAACGTCAGCTGCCAGAAGCGGAGGTGAAGGACAGCCGGCTTTAATATCCATGACGAGAGCCACCGTGTTTCCCCCCAAACCTCCTGCGTGTTGGCAGTCTGCTGCAGGGCTAGCCCTGCGATTCGCTATGCGGTAAACGAGGGGGGGGCACGTATCCTCTTCCCATTACTGCCGATTTACAGAAAAATCTGTTATGTTTATGCTGAACTGGGACGGCTAGCTCTGTCGCCCTGAAACAGTCATCTTAATGCCCATCACAGTTGGCACGGAAGGGAAAAGCGCCCCCCGTAAAGATTTTGCGTGGTGGTAAAGAACCTTCCAGTCTGGTACATCTTGGTACCTGATTGGTGTTCTCCCATCTGTTAATGCTTTTTTCAGTATGTCCGGACAGTCTGGATGCCTCTTAGGTCTTACCGCTCTGGCGAGACACATGCTTTGTCGTCTGAATGACTCGACATTAAGTCCACCCCACAGCCCTGAACCCGCCCCATCAAACACATGTTATTTCAAAACAGAGAGGGGGGGGGGGGGGGGGATCTGTGGGATTGTGGAAATTGTGCTGTTACATTAAATTCATAGATTTGATGGTGATGCATTCTGGGAGCAGTGCAGAAGCCGGCACATTTATCACCGGCTGTGGAAAGTAAGGAAAAAATTCTGTCTCTGTACCTGGCCACCTTGATTAATGTGATTTGAACTTGACAGTGGACCCCTAATTCATCAAGACCTTGATCTAGCTGTCTTTTGCTCTGCCTGTGCCAAATTCACCTAATTACACGAGCATTGCACAGCAAATTAAGTGGGGTGTCATTGGCGGCAAGCCGCAGCGGTTTATTATCTGCCCGTGGCGGCGTGTCAAAGGTCACCGCGTTGATTGCCTAACATGACATCCTGCCGCTGTCCCCTTTATCATTGTTTGCATATAGCATAATGAGGGCGCTGCTTATTTTGTCAAAGCTGTCTGGAAGGCAGTGGCGCACCGCGCCTCCCTCACTATGCCTCTGAGGGGGGGGGAGGGGGATTGGGGCACTGGGCTACGCGTGGAGCCACCCAAGCCGCTGCTCTCGGGGTGCCCCACCCCTCGTTATTACACAGATATCAGGGTATATGGAGCTGGACCAGTTACGCCTGCTAAAGTACACCTCTCCATGTACTCCATGTACGCCTCTTTGTACATGATTTCTCCATCATTCAATTTGCGCATAATTGGAACGATGTCATCACCACACTGGCTGAACATTAGCTGCTAACAGGGACATGCAAGCCCCAGGAAGCCGAGGGCTTCTTGGCTCCTGCCTTGCTCTTGTTTTTCTGATGTTTCCGTCACACGCCTGGTGATCGGGGAGCAGTGCATCCCCAACGCCGTGTTTCCCAGCAGCCACCACCCACGGGCCAAGATGCCTTGATTGGGCCCATTGATTTCCCCAAACTGTGGCTTCTGCCACCGGAGATGTGAGCCAGCCGAGCCAGACAAAGGCTGCATTCTCTTGCCGGGCCTTCAAACGCTACGCGCCGCTCAATCGCTCGCTTGTTCACCCGCCGGTACAGAGGATGTTGGGGATCTCCAGCCGTACCTTCAGGGGGCAGTTACCCTGCTTCCCCCCTTACCTTTCTGGGAGGGGCTCGGACCACTTGCAGACCCTAAATACTGTTGCCTGTGAAAAGTAGAACACAGAATCTTCCTAGAACATAGAGCTATCTTCGATCTAATGTTTACCTTCACCTGCCTATGTATCCGGGCATGACATGCACAGGAAACAGGCTACAAAACCTTAATCAGCACTCTGACATGACTAGCAGAAGCTAACCAGCACTGTAATCTGACCAGCAGAAGTTAAATAGCATGCTAATCTGACTAGTAGAAGTAACCAGCACTACTAGCAGACTACCAGAAATGACCCAGCACTGTGACTAAGATGGTTAGAATCAGCTCTGGACAGGTCAATCTTGTGGCTCAATTGGCCATTTGAAGCAGTGAGGTGAAGCCATGCCCCCCCGCCCCCGAACCTAGGAGTCAGACTAAAATGACTCAGGGGCCCAATGCCCCCCCCCCCTCCGGAAGCCTCCTGCTTTTCTTTATTTACAGATGGGTCCTTCCCCTAGACTCGATTTTTGCCAGTTTTAATCATAGATCATTATTCTAAGGAGGCTGGTAAGTTGGTGGGGCCGGTGAGACTGCGTCCACCAGCTCGTAGCACCAGTTCCATCTCAGTGGGAGGTTCATGGTGAGCCCATAGCAGATACTGTGATTTGTCTCAATCAGAGCCGTGGCCTCGGGCTGCAGACAAGCCTCCGTCATGCTGTGATTCATCTCTGGCTCACGCCGCCCGGAGAAATGGGCCGTACCTGCAAACACAAACGTGTCGGCAGCAGGCCTCTTCAGCGACGCTCTGCTCAGCACTGTGGGGGGGGGGGGGGGGGGGGATGAGGAACCCTGTGCTCCGGGACCTCTGGCAGCGACCACGCATCCTCGGTGTCGGCGTCCGGCCCAGGGAGGGTCCTGAGGGGGCTCTTGGCATGCGTTGGGGAAGGTAACAGGTGCAGCGACCGGCCTGCGTCC